CATTGGTGCTTGTGCCTTCTGGAGGGGATTGACCTTTGAGGAAAGGTTAAGCAGATTGGCCTTGTATCCACTGGAGAATAGGGTGATCTTTTTGAAATACATAACATTCTGCGGGATTTGCAGTGGTCCTGACAGGGTGGATGCTGAGAGCATGTTTCCCCTTGTAGGCAAACCTTTTAAAAATAAAGATTCTCCCATTTAAGGTGGAGAAAATTTGTCTCAGAGTCGTGAGCTTTTGAGATTGACTTTCATGGAGAGTTGTGTTGTCTGAGTCACTGACTATGTTTTAAACAAGCCACTCAGACATGTTGTATTCCAACTTTTGGGCAGGTGGGAACTGAACCTGGGCCTTCTGGTTCAGCAGCAGGGACACTACCACTGCACCACAAAAACACCTGGCTCATTGAGTATTTTGGAGGCTGAAGTAGACAGAGGTTTGAGCTACAAAGGAAAACGAAGGTTAATGGGTTCGGTTGACTGGAAAGTAGATTCAAGGTCACGTAAGATTAGCCATGATCTTCTTGAATGGCTTGAGGGCCGATGGCCTACTCCCACTCCTACTTCTTTTGTAGCTTCTCTCTATTTAAGATTCTTTTTAAACTTTATCTTGTGAGATTTAGTTATGGAGTCATACAGGATGGAAACAGACCCTTCGGTCCAACCAGTTAATGCTGACCATAATCCCAAACTAAACTAGTCCCACCTGCCTGCTCCTGGCCCATATCCCTTCAAACTTTTCCTATTCATGTACTTATCCAAATGCCTTTTAGACATTGTGGCATCCACCACTTCCTCTGGAAGTTCATTCTCTCTGTTTAAAAGCAAGTTGCTCCTCGTGTCCTTCTTAAATCTTTCTCCTCTCATTTTAAAAATATGCCCCCTAGTTTTGAGCTCCCCCACCCAAGGGAAAAGACCCTTGTCATTCACTTCATTTATGCCCCTCCTGATTTTGTAAACCTCTATCAGTTCACCCCATAGCCTCCTATGTTCCAGTGGGAAAAATTCCAGCCTTTCCTGTCTATTTTTATAACTCAAACACTCCATTCCCGGCAACATCCTGGTAAATCTTTTCTGAACTCTGTCCAGTTTAATAAAATCCTTCCTATAACAGGGCAACCAGAACTGGACACAGTACTCCAGAAGGGGCCTCACCAACGTCCTGTACAACTGCAACATGATGTTCCAACTCCTACACTCAAAAGGTCCGAGCAATGACGTCCTTTGTAGCTTCCAGTACAGACAAATGAAATCACACAGTGAGCCTGAGTGATGATGTTAAATAGTTTTTGATGTAATTCCTAGCGCAAGAAGGGTTGTTTAGTAAGTGCTGTCCAGTAGCAGAACCACTTATGATGTTTGATGTGGGGTTTCCAGGTTTGCAAGCATGGGCTGGTTGAGCAGGTCATCTGCTGTCCTTTCTGCTCAATCGTGGGAGTGTGATTTTCGATTATGGTCCACCTTCTGCTCTCCCTTGTCCTCTGATGTGAAAGGCCAGACTGACCTGAAGCCAGGCTCCACACCTAATAGAATGGGCACAGTCATAGAGTCATACAGGATGGAAACAGACCCTTTGGTCCAACCAGATCATGCTGACCATAATCCCAAACTAAACTAGTCCCACCTGCCTGCTCCTGGCCCATATCCCTTCAAACCTTTCTCATTCATGTACTTATCCAAATGTCTTTTAAATGCTACAGTCGTACCCACGTCCACCACTTCCTCAGGAAGATCATTCCATGCGTGAATCACCCTCTGTGTAAAATAATTTGCCCCCATGTCTTTTTTTTAATAAAGAATTAAATCGCTATAGTCCTAGCAGACGGTAAGCTCAGCCGTTTTGGGAATTGAACCCACGCTGTTGGAATCACTCTGCATCGCAGTCCGGCCTACTGATCCCCATATCTAATACTCCACACACGTGTTTCAAATTGTCCTTGATAGCACGCCTGTGAAGTGCGAGGGGAAACTTAGAGGTGCTACGTAAATGCAAGGTGTTGTCAACAATGATCCCATCAATGACACCACTTGGTCCAGTGCAGCATTGCCTTTGGGAATATGTTTGCCAAGTTTACTTGGCTAGTTATGAATCTTAGTGCAGAGGTTGAAACATAGAAAATAGGAGGAGTAGGCCATTTGAGCCTGCTCCACCATTCAATATGATCATGGCTGATCATCCAATTCAGTCCCCTGTTCCAGCTTTCTACACACTCCCTTTAGCCCCAAGAACTTGGGAATTTGTAATGTGTTTTATATTTGCTTACAACATGGGGGCAGAGTTTATTCTGTGCTCCCGGATCCAATTAATGTCCATGCATCCATGGTCTTTGACTGTCCCTGTTCAATGCTATGGGACAACTCTATTACACTGGGAGACAAGACTTAAACTCGTTTCTCCTTTACATCTACCCAGAAAGTCATGAATGTCTCTGAAAGCGATCTCCTTTCGCGCCCTTGCCCTGTTCAGTTGGGGATTGATAAACAGTACAAACTAATCTTAGTCCCCTGATACAGGCATATCACGGACAGAGATGTCAAAAGTTCAGGGGCTGCTCACTGCCATTGAGCTTCCTCAGCCCCTGCATGGCTGACGAGGATGAGATTAACTTATCGGGTGCTCTAACAATGTTGTAACTTGGCACTCGCCCAGGTAGCGCAAGTGTATAATAGGTGATAGTTTTCCAGTATTGCAATCTCTTGTACGAAGTAGTGAACATTTCAGTGGACAGTGTAGTTTCCTTTCCAAAAACTCAAGCATGCCTGTTTCGATTCTCACCCTGTTTTCGGGTCATCGGTCAGCCCAAGTTATGTCTTAATCAGTGATAGTCCAGTTCGGCCACTGGGTTAGAAATTTCTTCGCTCCTCGAGAGCTTGGGAATCTTTGGAAACTTCTACCACAAACAGATGTGAGGGTTCAGTGAACTCAAAACTGACAGTCATGGATTTTTTGGAGACTAGGGAACATGAGGAAGGGAGAGGTCAAAGGCCAACTTTGGTCATAAACAGAGAGACGGGGCCCTTAAATACCGAATTCTTAGCAACACCTCCAGGGGTCAGCCATTTTTAAAGTGAGTTTGTTCAGGGGGTCGACAGTGCTCCTTATTCTAACGAGACAGGTTGCTAATGACACTCGTTTTAAAAAATAGTGTTAACTTCAACTAAAGGAGGCCAACTGATTGTAAAGACTAGAGGTATAAAAACCGAAAGAACCGCAGATGTTGGAAATCAGAAACAAAAACAGAAATTGCCAGAAAAGCTCAGCAGGTCTGGCAGCATCTGTGGAGAGAAATCAGAGTTAACATTTCAGGTCCAGTTGCCGTTCCTCAGAACTGGAGGTAGCTAGGTAAAAGATATTTTTTATGCAGAAGAAAGGGTCGAGGGAGTGGGTAAGGAGTAAATAATAGATGGAGATAGAGCCCAAAGAGAGACAACAGGAGTGTATAGCGATTAGCCTAGGAGAATGAATAGCTACTAATGGGGCCAATAATAGAAGTGTGTTTAATAGCAGACCATGTGATAACAAGCCTAGTCTGTGGGGGTTGGGGTAAGTACATGGGAGAAGGTGCCTCAAGCCCTAAAATTGTTGAACTCAATATTGAGTCAGAATGCTGTAGAGTTCCCATGTGGAAAATGAGATGCTGTTCTTCCAACTTGCGCTGAGCTTCACTGGAACATTGCAGCAAGCCAGAGAGAGAGAGATGTTGGCCAGTGAACTCGGTGGTGTGTTGAATGGCAGGCAACTGGAAACTTGGGCTCTCTTTTGCACACAGAACGTGGGTATTCTGTGAAGCGGTCGCCCAGTCTATGCTTCGTTTCCCCACTGTAGTAGAGACTAGGGGTACTGGCCTACCTGGGTGTGGATGTAGGGAGATTCCAACTCCCTCCCCAAACACACACATTAAACCCAGATGGGAGAAAAAGGGATTTTTAAAAAAATGACACTTGCAAACAAGTCAGGAGGGTTTACCGGTAGTGTCCCTACCTCTGGCCTGAAAGGAGAGTCACAGGTAGACAGGGTGGTGAAGACAGTGAATGGTACGCTTGCCTTTATTGGTCAGTGCAGGAGTTGGGATGTCGTGTTGTGGCTGTACAGAACATTGGTTAGGCCACTTTAAGAATACTGGTCTTCCTGCAATAGGAAAGATGTTGTGGAAGGATTCAGAAAAGATTTACAAGGATGTTTGTTGCCAGGGTTGGAGGGTTTGAGCTACAAGGAGAGGCTGAATAGGCTGGGGCTATTTTCCCTGGAGCGTCGGAGCTGAAGGGTGACCTTATAGAGGTTTATAAAATCATGACGGGCATGGACAGGGTGAATAGCCAAGGTCTTTTCCCCAGGGTAGAGGAATCCAAAACAAGTGGGCTAAGGTTTAAGGTGAGAGGGAAAAGATTTGAAAGGGACCTGAGGGGCAGCATTTTCATGCAGAGGGTGGTGTGTGTATGGAATGAGCTGCCAGAGGAAGTGGCGGAGGCTGGTACAATACCAACATTTAAAAGGCAGGATGGGTACGTGAATAGGAAGGGTTTAGGGGGATATGGGCCAAATGCTGGCAAATGGGATTAGATTAATTTAGCATATCTGGTCAGCATGGACAAGTTGGCCCGAAGGGTCTTTTTCTGCGCTGTACAAGTTTATGACTCTACGTCCCATTGCTCCAGAGCTGCATTATAACATGTCCATGTAGATTGATTAAATATACTTACAAGACAAAGTCAGGCCAGTGTGTGTGTATATGTGTCATTTGCAAGTTTTACTGGTATTTCCTTCAGGGATGGGTGACATGGTTGCTTTCCTGATTTTTAATTTTAATTACAAAATAAACTTTTTGCTTGTAATTAACAGCACAAGTATACTTTTAAACGATGCGATAATTGGTAGTACAATCAATCTTGCCCACACGTGGAATGACTTAAAAGTGAACGCGCTACAGTCCTGTATGAAGTGAGATATTGATTTTTAAGAGTTAAAAGAAAGAAAAAATTAACAAAGGGGACAGAAACAAAAATGCATATAAAAAAACAATCAATTTTATTCATAGAAAAATATCCAAAATAGGAAACTGTTATTCAAAATACTTTTTAAACATTGTAAAAAATGCTTTCTATAAGAATAAAACTTTTTATGTACAGAAGTTTACATTTTACAGTGAAACCAAAGACACAGAATATTGGAAATCCGAAATAAATCAGGAAGTTCCTAATGTCTGACAAAAGGTCAATGACCTGAAACGTTAACTATCTACAGTTGCTGTGTCTAAATATTGTCTCTCTTTATGTTTTACAGTAACGTGCACCTTGAGCCAAAATGGCTTTCTGGTTATAAGCAGGAAATTGAGCCATCACTTGAGTGGATTGCTATCACAGTGGTGTTATGACACACAATTATGTAGATTTTATTCTACATCACAACCACAAGAACATGATTTAACTTAGTCACTGTAAAACAAGATGGGTTTAGTTCCCCTCTGCATTAGGAACCTTCAGCAAAAAGGTCTAGAAACATCCTATTTGTCCACCAAACTTAGTCCCCAGGTCACTAACAGAGTCCGTTTGCAGGTCAATTTGTATGCAAGTTGGAACACAGGAGTCATTTGTAAGCACAGAAAATCTTCATATGTCAGATCTTTAAAATTAAATTCCTGATTGAGAAAGCATTCGTAGGAATGAGCATGTTTGTAAATTGGGGACCCCTGTATTTTGGCAGTGTGACTTACCTTTCCTCTCGTGGTGTGGTGGTAGTGTCCCTATCTCTGAGCTAGAAGTCCTGGGTTCCAGTCCTACCCACTTCAGAGGTGTGTCAGAACAGGATGTATAAAAATGTCAGTGATGCTATAGAGATTCATTGCACCATCTGTGTCATACCTCCTTTGCTCTTCCCACAACATGACAGGAGTTTCGAAATTAAATGTACAAGGAACAGAGCACAGCAGAAAAGTCTTTTCTGCACTGTGCTGAGAGACTCTGCAAAACCTGAGTAATATTTGAAGCGAGATTGTCTAAATGATTCAGTCAGCTGCCCTTAGAAATGTATATAATGTGTATAATTTTGAACAATTAGGGTTTACAAAGGGTGGAGTCTGCTACATTAATGATAAGTCTACAGGAATTAAAATATGATGAATATGTGTTTCCAGTCACATTAAGTTGCTCAAACAGTGTTCATGTGTGACTTTAAAGTTTCCTCATGTCACAGTGGGAACAGATTTCACAGTTTCTTCTGTACCCTCTATTAATCCAAGACACCCAAGAACAAACAAAAACCATAGTATCTTCACTCAATCTACCCTACAAAGGCCCCTCAAAATTCTTTGGAACTTGGCTGTGGGTGTGTTGTGATTTGAAGAACACAACATTCAACATTTTTTCTCTCTATCCACCATCACAGACTCTTTGCTGATAATGTTTAGTCATCGATGTGACAACACTTTAACAACTGATAAACTGTGTGGTTTGTGAAGAAAAAAATCAATTGCTCTCCTGCAGTCTGAGGTACATTCCTCACCAACTTTCTGTCCTCCCTTCCCCCTCCATTCAGCATCTTACTTGAGTCAGTTGTTGTTCATATTTTGGGCAGTGCAAGCTATTGTGACCATCACGGTTGAGTCTTCTGCTCCACTCATTGGAGAGCAGAACTAACGTGTGAGTGAGAGACTGCGTATGTGTGAATGAGTGTGTGTGAGAGAGAGTGAGAGACTGTGTATGTGTGTGTGTGTGAGAGAGAGAGTGTGTGTATGAATGAGTGTGTGTGAGTGAGTGTGAGAGAAAGTGAGTGTAAGACAGTGTGAGTATGTGTGTGTGAGTGAGTGTGTAAGTGAGTGTGTGAGCGAGTGTGTGTGCATGAGAAAGTGTGTGAGAGTGTATGTTTGAGACTGTGTTTGTGTGTGAAAGAGTATGTGTGTGAGAGAGAGTATGTTTGAGAGTGTGCATGTGTTTGAGAGTGTACGTGTTTGTGTGCGTGTGTGTGTTGTATTGGGGAAGCGGTTGATGTAGGGCCTTCCTGATCTGTGTTCGTACACCTCAAAACTCAGATAGTCTTTCCCATCTTAATGTCACTGTACATTAAAACACCGTAGTCGAGATAGTGCCATCAATGTACTCAAGATAAAGGGTTTGCCTTCACATTCTCTGGTTTCTTCTCCAAAGTGAACACTCCCTGACAAGGGACTGACCTTGGCACCCTTCCTCTTTCTCTGCAGCAAGCAGATGCCACTGCCTCCTCCATCTACCCGCACTCTCTTGCCACCCTACTCCTCATGGAATTAGATGGACATTTCCCAAGGGGAACCGGGTCCGTCATAACCAATAGCTCTCTCTAAAGCACCGTGCCAACCTCCTTGGCCTGAGTAAGGTCTTAATCCTGCTGCTTGTACCTTCAGATTGGTGTGGCACGTTACATTGTCAGCCGGGCACGGTAACAAATTTGCTCATCGTAATCTTTCAGCTCAAATGAAGTATATGATACAACAGACTACCTTGAGTCCCTACCAATTTGAATTTAGCTGTAAGTCAGCTCCCATTCACTCACAAGAGCCTCGAAAGGATGTGGTCAGTGAAGATGCTTCATGCCCAGTCGAGTGGCTCTCAAGATTCTGGATGTATGGTCTGTAGGCACTTTGGAAGATCATCCCTCTTGTAAAGATTTGTGTACGAGCTTGCTATGTCCCCATGTGATGGGATGTCTGCAGTACTGAAATCAGCAGAGATCCCAGAGTCTGACATCAGAAGGTAATTTCTGTCACTCTCCAATTTGAACCTTAATGGATTCAGGTAAAGTAATCGTCCACTGGGATCATACTTAGCATAGTCAAAAGCTATCCGTGCCTCAGGACTCCCTGTCTCAATCCCACTCGACAGCGATGACTGACGCGAGATGCAGTCTTGCTGCGAAGAGTTCTCTCCGATGGAAGACATGACGTCCTCCGAACCCGGTCTGGAACTCTCGAACAACAACTTCAAAGGCATCTCTTCCTCCGAGACATCATTGCTGCTCTGCTCGAGACTGCAGGTGTCAGACAGGGAGGGGCGACCGGGGAAGAAATTCTGATTCAAGACAACATAGACCTCCCTGGCGTCGGGTGCTTCCAGTGGTCCTTCTTCCATCAGGCCTTCATCCCGCTGCAGCTTGAATGGGTTGGGCCTGGACACCAGGAAGCTTCGCTCGCCCAGGAAGACCTCCTGATGCTTGATTGCAGGCAGACCGGGAGGAAACATCTTTGTCTCAGACAGGATCTCCAGCGTGGTGGCTGGCTCATCGGTGCTGAAGAACTGTAGATTCCACCAGATTTGTGCGCTGCTCCGATTGAGCCACTCCTGTAGAGGCAAACAAAATTGTGGTCGGTGAGAGGACTGATTGGTATTGGTGAGAAAGATCATTCCAAAGAAGGAATCGACATTTCACCACGCACCCCCCCCCCCCCCCCCACCAACGTCTCACATGAAGTCCTCCAACAGCTTCCTAAATTATTCCAAGGTTTCTCTCAGTATTGCTTCACCCAATGCTACTTCCCACTAGCAGGCCTCCCCTTCCATACATTGCAGGCTTATAGAGTAACCTTTACATCTACACAGCCAACAGAAGTTAGGGTTGGAGCTGAGAAGGTTGAGGGATCCGTCTGAGCCCCACACAAATTATGAGTGGTATAGGTTCGGTCAGTGGGAGGGAATAAAATATAACAAAGAATTGCAGACGCTTGAAATCGAGACAAACAAGGGCAGAAATTTCCAGAGAGAACCAGGAGGTCTGGCAGCCTCTGTGGAGAGAGAAACACAGAGTTGTCATTTCAATTCTACTTCTGAACGGTCACTGGAACCTGAAACGTTAACTGTTCCTCTTCCTATGGATGCTGCCAGACCTGCTGAGATTCTCCCACAATCTCTGTTTCAATAGGAAAAAAACTGTTCCCCTTAGTAAAGGGATTAATTACCAGAAGGCATAGATTCACAGTAATGGGCTGGAAGATTGGAGGGCATTAAGAATTTGTATCTGGAAGGCACTTTGTGAAAGGTTGGGAGAGGCAGGAACCAAGACAATTTTAATAAATATTTAGATGAACACTTGAAAAGCCGTAGCACACAAGCATATGGACCAAGTGCTGGGAAACTGGGTTAGAATAGACATGTGCTTGCTAATAGAATCCCTACAGTTTGGAAGCAGTCCATTTGCCCAACAAGTCCACACTGACTCTCTGAACAGCATCCAAACCAGACTCACCTCCTACCCTATCCCTGTAATCCTGTATTTCTAATGGCAAATCCATCTAATCTACGCATCCCTGGACACTACGGGGCAATTTAGCATGGTGATCTAACCTGCACGTCTTTGGACTGTGGGAGAAAACCAGAGCACGGGGAGAATGTGCAAACTCCACACAGTCACCTGAGGCTGGAATCAAACCCAAGTCGCTGGCGCTGTAAGGCAGCAGTGCTAACCACTGAGCCACTGTGCCATCCATGCTTGATGACCAGTGCTGACTCAATGGGCTGAAGGGCCTCGTTCCGTACTGTAAGACTTGATGACTTTGTGACCTTGCAAAGCACTTAGTGGCCAACTGGGTGCAATTGTGGTGTAGGCACTGTTGAGAATGGAGGAACAACGGCAACCATTTTGAACACAGCAAGCTCCCACAAAACAGTGTCATCGCGACCAGAATATCTGCTTTTGTGACGTTGGATAATTGTCTCTCAACCAATCGGGAGGCTGCAGAGAACCCCGCTGAACTCCGAATGGTACCATAGGGTCAGTGCAAAAGCAGATGACCCTCAGTTTTACCTCTCTGTGAAACTGGTGGGCTTAGGAGCCCATCTATGTCCAGGACGCTTGGGAACAACATAACCAACCAATCCTTCCATCCCATATCCAGTGATCATTTGCTTTGCCCATGTCTACTCAAGCTGATACCAAAGGTGCCAAACTAAACCAGAAGGATTAAATGTGGTCATGGAACCATATTCCACAGGACTCAGCATGAGAAAAGAGACGCTAGCTTTTAGTCTTCTAAAATGTTCAAGAATTTGAATGTGAAGCTACAAAAGAATGCAGAGATTACAATGTGTTTTAAAGCTGTGTTTTACCTGGAAATTACCCCTGTACACAGTGAACAATCCATCAAACATGTTCTCAGGGGAGGGCACCAGAGGCCAAATCTTTTCCTTGATCATTCTGTAAAGGAAAAAAAAAGATTCAGTTGGTGTTGAATTTAGGTAATTTTTAAAAAATTCATTCACAGGATGAGGGTGTTGCTGGCCAGGCAACATTTATTGCCCATCCCTAATTGCCCAGATTACGGTTCAGAGTCAATCATATTGCTGTGGGTCTGGAGTCACATGTTGGCCAGACCAGGTAAGGATGGCAGTTCCCTTCCCTAAAGGACATTAGTGAACCAGATGGGCTTTTCCTGACAATTGACAATGGGTTCACTGTCATCATTAGATTCTCAATTACAGATATTTTTAAAATTGAATTCAAATTCCACCATCTGCCATGGCGGGATTTGAACCCAGGTCCCGAGAACAATATCTGGGTCTCTGGATTTACAGTCCAGCAACAATGCCACTAGGCCATCACTTCCCCTATTGTGTTATTATCTAATGATGTGGCAATATTTCCTTGTACACATCAATGAAGTGTGTTAGTAATGGATCCCTTCCCATTGTTTTTGTACCAAGCATTTTGAGATGAAGGACGGTTCCATCAGATGCACTTTCGGTCATCCTGAATGGACCATAAGACTTTGGCTCCTGTTGTTTCCCTTGTGCCTATCTCACTAAACTGGTGGTATTTCTATGTGAGACTGCCAATGGGTTCTAAACTCCAGAGAGCTCAGTGCTTGTTTCTCTGGAGTCCAGAAGATGGTTCTAAAGCCACTTCTTGCACCCATAATGGGTTAAGGTTTATCTTCACTACATTTGGATCAGGTCTTGGAGATGAAGGGACCTGCTCAACTCTTTATCTTTAATTCCCACGGGAACAGGAGGAGACCATTCTGTCCTCCATTCCCCCACCCCACCATTCAACTACAGAATGGCTGACCTTGACGTCAATCCCACTTTCCTGCACCATTCCCATATCCTTTACTGTCATTAGCCTCCAGAAATATAACAATCTCTATCTTGAACTTGCCCCATGACTGAGCTTCCGCAGTTCTCTGATGTAGAGAATTTCAATGGTTCACTACCCTCTGAGTGAAGACATTCCTCCTCAATCAGTCCAAATTAACCTGCTCTTTCTCCTGAGATTATGTCACCTGGATCTAGAGCTCTAAGCCAGGAGAAATCATCCCATTCATATCCAGCTGCTCACTCCTTGTGAGGATTTTACATGTTTCACTGTTACTGCCTCTCTGTTTGTCCTTTGAGATACTGCCATAGGATCATAGAATCCCTACAGAGTGGAAACAGGCCATCAAGTCCACACTGACCCTCCCACCTCCTTACTGTATCCCTATAACCTTGCATTTCCCATGGCTAATCCATCCCTGGACCTCTACAGGACAATTTAGCACGGCCAATCCACCTAACCTGCACATCTTTGAACTGTGGGAGGAAACCAGAGCACCTTGAGGAAATCCAGGCAGTCACAGGGAGAATGTGCAACACAGACAGCTGCCTAAGGGTGGAACTGAACCCCAGTCCCTGGTGCTGTAAGACAGTAGTGCTAACCACTGAGCCACTGTACTGATCTCTTGCATCTGCCTGAAAACAGGCTTTGGTTAATAATTCAACTGAGAGACAGCACCTCTGGCAGCACTGAATTGGAGGGCCTGCCAGGATTGAGTACTCAGTTCTCTGAAGAGGGACATGAGCCTTCAACCTTCTGATTGAGAGGCAGCCGTGCTACCAGCTTGAGTCGCATTCGTTTATCACCATGTATTGAATTCTTAACCCTTTCTCTTCCTTTATCCCAAATGCAACAAATTGCTTGATTAATTATTAGATTAACTCTGCCAACAGAAAAAGCCGGTTACCTGCGGTGGGTCATAAGGATGGTCAGAAACAGCAACATAACGATCATGACAAGGACTAAGGACAAGCTGAGAATCAGCGGATCCAAGTCTGGAAAACAGTAAAAAAAAAGCAGCTTGTGAATTATTCAAAGTTCTCAACAATGCGTCCTCCTACTGTTTTCTTCAACATGGTATCTATGGGGAACTGCTGGGGTAGAATATCATGTCCAACATTCATATCAGTACTGATTAAAAGGGTAATAGTGTTCTCTTTAAGCTTTTGCATAAAATGAAATTTCCACTTCTTTTAAACATTTTAATTTTTAAGATATAATTTGCTTGGAGCCAGTATTTTGATTATTAACTTTGTGTACATTTGCGTAATCCAGATCTCAGTGAAGTTTATCATTACCAATGGCATTTTGACTTGATGTTTGGCCATGTTAACCCAGATGGCCTCTCAGCCTGCTCTTTGAACCCAATTGCACTTTGAACTCAACCTAATGTTGGACTCTGCTGGACTCTCCCAATCACATAATGCTCTTGATCCTTCTGTGGGAATCCTCGGGCCCACATTCAATGACCACTTCAATTTAATTATTCAAATGATGGCAATGCTAAGGTTATGGTGACATGGGCCCAGATATTTCAACGGCCAGAGAGTTGCTGGAGCAACACAGACTGGAGTTGTACGTCAGGATCCTGCAGAATCCCACACACAGCTCCAGCCATGGAATCCGCTCTGTGGCGAGAATCCTCTGAGAAAGCTCATTAAAGTTGGGTGGTTCAGAAAGGGCGAATATAACCCTTTATTTCCTGTTAGACCAGACTCAGGTTTCTTTGTTTAAAACATTTATTCATACATGCATGGGAGATGTACACATCCAGAAATGGCATACAGGTCAAATCTTTGTTGACAGAACAAAGGTTTTGTACTATTTTTACACCGAGCAAGCTTCCAATCAATTATTCCTGCAAATGATCGTTTCCAATCAAAAAAAATACATTTTACTAACCCCTATGTCTGCCCAACCATGTTCGCATAGTTTACATTCCAGATCAGTACACATAACTATATTATCCAACTACTTCAAACTAATTCACATGATTATATTATCCAGTTGTTTCATGATATGGCCACATCTCAAACTGTTAGGACGTACTTTGTGATTACAGAAAACTTACACTGTCTAATTTCCTTTTCAGTTTTAGACTTATTTTGGACCAGGCCAGATGCCCTCAAAATATCTTTAGAAGGTAGCCTAGACCCTAACTTTTACTTATTTGTAGAATCCCTACAATGTGGAAGCATCATGTCCACACTGAACTTCAAACAGTATCCCACCCAGTCCCACTCCCCTGCCTTATCCTATTTTTGTAACCTTGCATTTTCCCATGTCTAACCCAGCCAGTCTGTACACCCCTGGACATTCTGGGCAATTTTTTAGCATGGCCAATCCACCTAATCTCTACATCTTTGGACTATGAGAGGAAACCCACGCAGACACATGGAGAATGTGCAAATTCCGCACAGACAGTCGCCCAAAGGTGGAATCGAACACAGGTCCCTGGTGCTGTGAGGCAGTAGTGCTAACCACGGAGCCACCGTGCCATTATTTTGGAGGCAAATATAAAGTGTCAAGTTCCAGTTGCAATGCGACTGATCAAACTGCTCAATGTCAAGCAAAACACAATTTATTTAAACACTGTAGTTAAAATACAACTAAAGAAAAAGGAATTTAGAATAGCAACTTTATTGGAAAGCTTAACTGAATAATAGCTACTATAACTTTTACTAATTAACTGTTCTAATACAGTAACATCCCATAAGCACAGCCCTTGGCCAAAAGGAAAACCCAAAAAAAATAGATTTGTCTCACGGGTAACCCAGTAGCAGAGAGAATCCCCAGCTTCTAGCTGTAACTGAGAGAGTGAAAAGGTAGCTTCTGTTGAGTTCCCTTTTAGGAGATTCCTACGCACTTGATACAAATGCAATACGCCAACTTCTGTGAATAGCCACAGTTTACTTAAGCAAGTACAAGCTTTGGAGGATCGCTTAACAATCTTCGCAGGGCTTGCGGAGCCGTGTCAAGCGATGCTCTCTGTAAGGGAACCGTCCTCCCTTTATATAGGTTTTTACAGCACAGTCAGACATGCATACAAGATACAATTTTTTTCTCCCCCATAATCACGTAACTTAATCATCTAACAGTAAAAACAAAGGTTAGCTGCCGAAAAACAATGTGTAAGACGAGGTAGTGCCTTATCCTTTTAGCGTTTATAGAGAGCAGAGTATAATTAGATTATCACCTTTTGTCTGCGAGATCTTTTTAGCCTTAGTTCAACATTTACAGACAGCAGTGTATAATTAGATCACCCCATTTTGTCTGCGAGACAGGGGCGCCCACGAAGCACCTAATTTCTTATGTGTCAGCAGAACAGATATTAACCCTTTAACATTTCATTCCTTCCTTTTATCATTCCATGATAACCAACTAAATGGGGGCTGAGAAAGGCGCCGCCAGCTTATTCGTAAGAATCTTACAGCCAGTATTTAAACAAGTTATTAACACACAACATACAATGATTAGAACAACAAAAATTACTAGCCCATGCAGTAGATAGGATCCCCAGGATCCTCCCAGTAGCCACTCTAGCCAGTCATCTCCTTTACCTTGTCTGAAATCATCCAATTGTTTTTTAATAGACTGGATGGCGTGGGTTATGTTGAATGATTCGTCCGTAACATGGGTGATGTATTTGTCTCCTACTATTGTACAAACTCCCCCTTGTTGAGCCAGCTGATAGTCCACTGCATACCGGGTTTGCTGAGCATAGAGCCGAAGTTCAGCTAATTCTTGATTTACTGCTTCCAATGCCAACGTTGTGCTATTTTCCAGGGCGGTGAGTCCACATATAAGGTAGTTTAGGTTTTTAGCAGACACCACCCCTGAGGAGCCTCCCAAAGTGACAGTTCCCAGGAAGCCATGTCCCAAGGAAGAGCCCAGGGTTACTGGATCCTGCCAGTCGGCGCAAAACTCCTTGCTTATGAAGCGTGTGACAATTCGTCGTCGAGTATATGCTCGTTGGGGACAAGGGACCATGAGATGCCCAATGGTCCCAACAGCAAATAGCACCGGCAAAGTTGGAGTAGCAGTAGAAAAGGTCCCATTGAGAAGGAAAACGAATCCCTTCTTAGCACGGTAGCAGGTAACGGACTCACGGACTATCTTGTAACTATTCCAGGACGATTGACCCTTAAATGGTTGGAAGTCTGAGGAGTGAAACGGAAACATCCCATATCCCATTTCTACATGGGTGCCATTACAACTCCCACAAGTCCAATGTATGCCTGAAGTCATGTTTACCGGTTTTGATTCCAAACAGGGGCAGTTCAATAGCCCTCCTTTAGTTGCACAAGTCTGTTTTACACACTGATGGGGCCAGGAAGCATCATGGGGATGGTTGGTGACGTTTACTAAGGCACATACACAATAACTTCCAGTACCATTAAAACAAAGCGGATAGCTGTTAGGATCCGTACAGTTGGCCCCTTCCTTCCCAGACTTAGGTTTAGTGCCTGTACAATTAGAGGGGCCGTTACTTATCAATTCTACACATTTACCCTGCACACCCCTGCTCCAGGTTCCTCTCTTCCCTTGGCAAGGCTCACCAGAATAATCTACTTCATAGAGTTGGTGAGGGTTCCATCCTGGGGTTGCTACAAACAAAGCTTCTACAGATTGTGCTAGCGGATAACACACTGTTCGATTACCATGCAGTGGGATATGTGTCTTATAAAACAAATTGTCCTCCAACCCACTCACAGTCAGAACAATACTTAGTTCAATGATTATTTTCAAGATGGTGAGGGAACCCATCGTTTACAGTCACTTAGGTGGATCCAGCAATTCTGCCCTTTGACTTTAAGCGCAGTCAAAGTCTGGAGAAGTATTTGGAATGGTCCTTTCCACCTGGGTCCGAGCTTGGGGCGATCCCAGTCTTTGATTAGCACGAGGTCTCCTGTTTGTAGTCTGGGAGGTTCATTCTGGTCGTCTGAGCTCTGATCCGTCACTTGTGATGGTGGTCCGAAGGAGTGCTTTACCTGTGAATGAAGAAACTTTAGAGACGATGTTAGCTGCTGAAAATATCTTTGCATTTCCTCTCCCATAATATTTAAGTCTACGTGGGTAGGTGGGTCTGCGTCGGCATCCCAAGGAGTCCTACTGGGTTGGCCATAAATTATTTCTGCGGCCGAGAGTCCAGTAGTGAAGTGGGGCGTTATTCTCATGTGGTACAGAGCTAAAGGCAAAACCTTTAGCCAGTTAAGGCCGGTTTCGGATGTTAGCTTAGTCAATTTAGTTTTGAGAGTTCCGTTAGCTCTTTCCACTATCCCTGCTGCCCTGGGGGTGGTGGGCACAGTGGAATTGTTCTTGGATGTGTAACACCTCACATAGTTCTTTGTTGATTTTCCCTACAAAGTGGGGGCCATTGTCTGAACTAATCTGTCGAGGCACTCCAAACCTCGGTATGATCTCTGTCAGTAGTAATTTTACCACCGTTGAGGCTTTATTATTAGTGGTTGGAAAGGCTTCAATCCATCTGCTAAATACATCAACAATAACAAGACAATACTTATAGCAATGTATACACGACAGTTGAATGAAATCAAGCTGAATACATACAAATGGGCCGCCTGGCAAGGGTGTTTCCCTGTTACGCACCGCATTCCTTGGACGCCATTATTTTGCTGACATGTCAGACATAACCTGACACGCTTCTGGGCTGCCTCAGCCAATCGGGGGTGCCACCAGGTACGTAACATGATATTACTCATTCCCTCCTTGCCAAGGTGGGTATCAGTATGAAGACAGTCAATAAGCATTGGTAACAAAGCATCAGGTATACACACTTGGCCAACTGGAGTGATCCAGAGACCTCTTGACGCAGAGTGCGAACACCCATGTGTCTTCCACATGTCTTTTTCTGAGTCGGGGCGTCCCCCTGTAAACGCTGCACAGTGACAATGTCTGGTATGCCCGTTGTTTTTGAGGCAGGTGAGCGATTTAACGCCTGCCGGTTCATAGAGGACACAATAGAATTGCGTGCTGTTGCAGCGTCTTTGGCAGCTCGATCAGCTCTGGCATTGCCTTTGCTGATATCCGTATTGTCCATTACATGGGCCGCACATTTGATTATGGCCAATTGCTTGGGGAGGAGGATGGCTTTGAGGAGATTTTGGACGTATAGTGAGTTCTGAATAGGTGTCCCTGAGGAGGTCAGAAATCCGCGCTGCGACCATAGCTGGCCGAAGTCATGGGCCACGCCAAAGACGTATCGTGAGTCTGTGTCTATATTTACCGATTTTCCTGTAGCCAGGGTACAAGCCCGTGTTAAAGCAAAGAGCTCTGCTTTCTGAGCAGATACCAGAGGATCGAAGGAGGCGTATTCTAAAGTGATTGTGTGGTTGGGTGGTTAGGGCACTAGGCGGAATTTGCCAATCCTCCTCCTGGTCATCGGTGTCATTATTTTGGAACAATATTGGCAAACCAGACATGTCAGGAGGTACCTCCATTTTATTCCCACATGATAAACCGGCTTGGCATTTCAACCCTGATTCCTTATTTTGCCTCTCCTTTCTCAATCTTTCATGTTCTGTTTTACTCATATTATAATCCTCATACTGCCACTTTAACACCTCCCACAACTTAGGGTTTCCCTCATGATCACATACTCTAATCCCTCTCCGATGTGCATTATTCTCCCAGCTGGCCTGTTTAGATTTATTCGTTATTTCCTCAGCAGTCTTTCTCCACGTGGATATTAAAGTTTTCCATTTTGTCCCCGTATTACGTTTCCAAATTGCCTCTTCCGCTTTTATGCATTTATCTACGTCCCAAGTTCCCCCATTGGCCAAATTTCATTTCCCAATTTCTTATTTAGGCACGCCGACAGATGTCTGAACCGTTCTTCATTTTCGGGGTCATCCCGACATAACCGATGTAAAGGGGTTCCAACACCCGACTTATCCAACATCTGTCCCATTCAAATGCTTCTACTTCTTACTTATTTCTATATACTAGTCCAGTGTCCTTGGTCTCCTCACCCACTTCAGGGTCCTGACCTTCAGGTGAGGGATTTCCCCTCTTAACAACCGGTCTAAGGCAGGGTGGTTGAGACAGGCACTGTAGTTATCTTTTACCTTCAGTACTACGTTCCAGGGACTCGAACCCTGGTATTGGAGGACTCTAACCTCCGAAGTCCTGACACTTACAGTTGGGAGGACTCTAACCCCCGAATTCCCAGTGCTCACAGTTAGGAGGACTCTAACCCCCGAATTCCCAATACTTACGGTTAGGAGGACTCTAACCTCCGAATTCCAGGGGGACTCTAACCTCCCTGAGACGAACTCGTCAGCGTACAAGTGCGTAGGTTATCTCGGAGATTCCGTCACTACAGAGTTCTAGGGGACGAGGGGTCGACTGGGTGATAGGTTAATGAGAGAGATCAAGGTAAATCTTACCTTGTGGGCCCATCTGTCTCACGTCACCATCACACAGGCGATCGGAATCCCATTGCTACCAACAAATGTTGAGTTCCCTTTTAGGAGATTCCTACGCACTTGATACAAATGCAATACGCCAACTTCTGTGAATAGCCACAGTTTACTTAAGCTAGTACAAGCTTTGGAGGATCACTTAACAATCTTCGCAGGGCTTGCAGAGCCGTGTCAAGCGATGCTCTCTGTAAGGGAACCGTCCTCCCTTTATATAGGTTTTTACAGCACAGTCAGACATGCATACAAGATACAATTTTTTTCTCCCCCATAATCACGTAACTTAATCATCTAACAGTAAAAACAAAGGTTAGCTGCCGAAAAACAATGTGTAACAATCCTTTTAGCATTTACAGAGTGCAGAGTGTAATTAGATTATCACCTTTTGTCTGCGAGATCTTTTTAGCCTTAGTTCAACATTTACAGAGAGCAGAGTATAATTAGATTGCCCCATTTTGTCTGCGAGACAGGGGCGCCCACGAAGCACCTAATTTCTTATATGTCAGCAGAACAGATATTAACCCTTTAACATTTCACTTCTACTTCTTCAACTCCACAACAGTAACGGCTTAAAGTTAAACCTAAAAACTAAGAAAAAACCCCACAAAGTCCGGTCTGTAACAGCTGACCACACCCAGCCAGGCTGCTTCTATTGACCTAACTTTTCAAAAAACCCAAGGCCTCACAAGCTATTTACTTTCTTTACAAACAGCTTGGAGCCTTTCATTCAGTCACTGTTTTAAGACAAAAACCCAGGAGAATACCACCTCTCGTTCAATCACTCTTTAAAAAGAAAGGACAAAATAACTTTTAAAGCCACTGCATCGTCACAGGCGGACACCCAAGTTTAGCGGACACCCAGGAAGTGTTAGAGGTTGAAAAACCTACTTTAACTCCTGGGTAACTATTAAACTGACCGCTCCTGTTTCACCACAGACATCCCATTCCCCACAACTACGCATTCCCCCCAAGTCGGACCTCTGATAATCAACCTGCAGCAGCGCGCCCTCACCCTCCATCTGACAGAACAACCCCTTCCCACTAGCCAAACCCCACCTAATCCCCCATTCCCCCAACCCCACACCCCGGCCAGGCCCCTCCTGGGCCAGACAGCCTTCATCCACTGGTCAGACCCCACAGTGACTGAAAATGACAGAATTCCAGAGTCATGCAGCATAGAAGAGGCCCTTGGGCCCATTAAGTTTGTGCCGATCTATCTACTCTCATTTAACTTTCCAGCACTTGGCCCTTAGCTTGGAAGGTTATGACATTTCAAGTGCTCATCCACAACTTTTTAAAGGTTGTGAGGTTTCCTGCCTCTCCTACCCTCCTAGATAGTGAGGGATAGAATTCGCGCTCTCTATCTCTCTGCCTCTCTTTGTTCTGACACCCCTTTTCAATCCTGTTTTGTTATCTACCTCTTCCTTTTAAAGCAAAGAAGGTCTGGGGGTTTATTTCTTCATTCACTGGATGAGGTGCAGCATTAATTTCCCATCCCTAATTGCCCAGAGAGCAGTTGAGAGTCAACCACATTGCTGTGAGTCACACATAGGCAAGACCATGTAAGGAAGGCAGTTTCCTTCCCTAAAGGAGGACATTATTGAACCAAATGGGTTTTTTTTCCTGACAGTCAACAATGGGTTTCATGGTCATCATTAGATCTTAACTCTGGATTTTCTTTTCCATTGAATTCAAATTCCACCATCTGCTGTGGTGTGATTTGAACCTGGGTCTCTGTATTAACAGTGCAGCGATAATTCCACTAGGCCATCACCTCCCCATGGATACTCCACTGCAGTATACGGCAGGACGGTGCTGCCCAAGGTTCTAATTTTTCAGTGAGATCTTCAGCTGAGACTCCATCCAATCTTTCAATTGGATGTAAAGGACGCCTATTACATAACAGAGCAGGGATGCTATTCCCAATGGCCTGGCCAATATTTGATCCTCAGGGAACAACACAAAAATTGATGATCTGGTTATTATTAGAGCTTAGGACCGAAGCAACTGCAGGCAGGATCACAAGGATAGCCTTGATTAAAATATGAAATTTTCACAAGGAAGCACAATGTTACAACAGGGACTAAACGGCAGAAAGAGATGTTCCAATGGTGGGAAATATGAGTAACATCTCATCAATTCGCCAAAAGTTTTTTATAATAGAGGGCAAAAACTGACATCAAGAAGCTGCATTTTGACACAACCACAGGCTGAGGCAAGCCCAGCAAACCCATGTGGAATAACAAAACCCTCTGCACTGAAATCACCCCTCTACCTAAAGACATTGAATCCAGGCAACTGATTCAGAATTAGTTGACAGTTGCGTAATAATTTCACCGATTAAACATGAAAGGACACCTTCAGAGTTTCCATCTTGGGCAGGCAATGGGGCCAGCCTCAGGAATCCACAAATGGATTCATTTCAACATCTGCTTTGGAGCAGCTTAAGAAAGTGAAAGAACATGGATCAATAATAGCAAAGAAGGAGAGGCTCTGTCTTTCCCTGGGGTTCTCTCATCTTCTCAGAAGGCAGCACTCTCGGCGAAAAAGCAAACTCGGGAAAAATGTCCTATCATTGAGATTTCAGATGTCTACAAATGTTGTCACTGCTGAGAACACCAGTCAACAATGAAACAACTCTGGTCTCAGGTAAGACATAACCTTTCATGTACTCAAACGGACTTATCAACCATATAACCTTTATAATCCTCTCTGCACCAGGCATGCTCTCCTCCAATTGGTCAGAAAAGGCAGAGACAATACTGTTACCTGAATCTGTAATGGCAGACACAGGCTTGGACCATGCTGTCCAGTAGCCATCTATGGACACTCCATCAGGCTTTGCGCGGATACTGACAAGGTACTCAGTCTGAGATTCAAGCTTCAAAATGATGCATTCTGTCTTCCCTTTGATGGTCTCCACCTGCACAAATAAAAGAAGGTTATATTGTTATATGTTGCACAGTTGAGGAGCTCATGATAATCATTCATTTGGATCTTGGCGGGGGTTTGGTGTTCATTGGTATGGTGACAATTGCATGATGGTACTACTCCGAAAACAGAATGGAGATGATTGGATAATTCCCCCCAGCCAATCACACCGCTGTACATGATTGAGATTGAGCTCTACCCTCACCATTTGTGCCATCCTCCATTTGCTGCATTTTAATGGAGAAATAATCCTGCTGCTATTGGGAGGCTGAACCCTTTCAAGTTTAACAACATCTTTCCTATAGCACTTGCTGCGTAAAGATGTCTTTGCCCTTCTTGTCGCATTTGCTTCTTTTACCAGTCATTTTAAACCAGTGTCTTGTGGTTCTTTATCCTTTTGCTGACAAGGACTCTATCTATTCTGTCCTAAATCCTAATGGTTTGGAACACCTCTATGAAATTTCCCCTAAACCTACTCTTCTGTAAGGGGAACTGTGCCCAGCTCCTCCAATCTATCCTTCCTCCTGGGAACCAATATCATTAACCTTAACCATCCCTCTAAATGTCTTCATATCCTTCCTAACATGCTGTGCCCAATGGCAGACACAATACTCTAGCTGAGCCTCAGCCAGCGTTTCCTGCAGGTTAACTGGGAAGGATTTCTCGAGATCAGCTAGGAATGGAGAGGAAGAGTCTTTCGGTCAAGCATCGGGCCGTGGACTCTCTTACCTTTTGCACATTGGAACCACCTGACGAAAAGTTGACTTCATACAACAGAGAATTTTCCAAGTACTTCAGCTGAGGTGCTGACCATTTCACATGCAGTTGGCCAGGCTTCCCAGTCCGTTGCACTGTCACGTTGGATGGTGGATCTAAGACAACTGAGGGAAGAAAACTTGAGATTTATTTTTGTCCCTTGTGTATTATGAATGCAGGAACAGGAGGACTCCATTCAACCCCTTGACTCTGTTCCACCCAAGATTCAATGAGATCACGGCCGAGTTAAAGGAGATGTGAAACTGGGGAGCATTTGATTCCCAAGGCACTTTTCAATGAAAAACATGGATGTTTCATGTTTCGCTTTCCAACATTCTATCCTCAAATAATGTCAACACCAAACAGATTGGCCGAGCATTCGGAGCTCTGCTTGTGGTGAGATATTGATGGACTCATGCAGCACAGAAAAAGCCCTTCAGCCCATCAAACCTACGAGTCTTCATTTAGAATAACCATTAGTTGCTGCAGAGAAGTCACTTTGAAAGGTCATTCATTGTAAAGATTCATCTGCAGAGGTTGAGACAGTTTAATGTGAAAGATGGTTATGAAGACATTTGTTTGATTTATCGCACAGCAGTTTTTTGTTTAGAACTGTCACCCAATCTGAAAGGACCTTTGGAACAAAGAAATTGAAGGCTGTTTTATAAAAGAGATTTGCAGTTCTTTACGTGTCTCTCACAATGGGTTGCTGCTCTGCAAAGCACACTTAAGGCCTTATTTTAATGGGGTTGGTTAGATGGTTTGTGATGCCAACAACAATTCCTGTACTGGCTAGGGTGAATTTATAGAATCCCTACATTTTGGAAAGAGGCCATTTGGCCCATTGAGTCTGCACTGGCCCTTCAGAGTACATCCCACCCGGACCAACACCCCTACTCTATAGCCTTACATTTTACCATGGCTAATCTACCTAACCTGTGTTCCCTGGACACTACGTTTAGCATGGTTTATCCACTAGCCTGCTCACGCCTGGACACTACGGGGCCACTTAGCATGGTCAATCTACCTAACTTGCACATTATTAGAGTGTGAGAGGGAATGGGAGCACCCGGAGCGAACCCATGCAGACACAGGGAAAACATGCCAACTCCACACAGATTGTTGCCTGAGGCTGGAATCGAACCTGGGTCCCAGGCACAGCGATGCAGCGTGCTAACCACTGGGCCACTGTACCGCTTCTTTATCCTTGACTTTATTGTAATGTCGGAAACACAGCAAGATCCCAGAATCAGCAACATGAGAACCGTCAGATCATCTTTACTTGGTGACTACAGGCCAGGGCTCCAGTTTGCTACTGCACTTTGAATCTTTCTGAGATCATTCCCAGATGCATGAGAATGTGGACTGAACCTCAATTTAACGTCTTGTGAGAAAGGAGGTATCTCTGACAGTGCGGCACTCATACTTATGGCGCAGGTCCCTTGAGTGAGTCTTGGACCAACAAGAGGGCAAACCATTGAATGATGGCTGTTACTATGGTACACTACTAAGTCGTACTCACCGATGTTGTTGATGTAGATGACCCGTCTCATGGCCACACTCGAATTCAGTGACACTTCAATTTCCAATGGAGCGAAGAGGGAAACATCCATTGTAGGTAGTGTGCAGATGTAACGGCTCATGTTACTGCCAATCTTTTGTACGGAAAGGTGACATTCTTTCTTCTCATTATCGTCCCTGAAGAATTGAGAAACATTGCAGAAGGGCAGGTCAACATTAAACATGGGGACACATGTGGGTAAGTCGATTTTGATGCTTCGACCTGTTCAGTTTCTGAAGGGGAGAGGGGGAGAGGCAGGCTCAAAATCAATCCCAATGCCCTCTATTGGTTCATCATCCAAAATCACAGCAGACACAACTTGCATTTAAATAGCCACGTCACTGGAACACAACACAAATTGACGCTGAGCCTCAGAAGGAGGATGAAAGCTTGAATCAAAAAATCCCTCAATTGTGGAATCAGGCCATTCGGCCCATCTTGTCTGCACCAACCCTTTGAGCAGCATCCCAGCCAGACCCACACCCCTATTCTAAGCCTGTAACCATACATTTCCTATGGCTAATCCACCTACCCTATACATCTCTGGACATTATGGGCAATTTAGCACGGCCAATCCACCCTAACATGCACATCTTTGGGCTGTGGGAGGAAACCCATGCAGACACGGGGAGAATGTGCAAACTCCACACAGACAGTTGCCCAAGGGTGGAACGGAACCTGGGTCCGTGGCGCTGTGAGGCAGCAGTGCTAACCACTGAGCCACCATGCCACCCTTGGTGAAAAAAATAGGGGCTTCTTTAATAAAAGGAAGTGTGGAAGG